GATGAGCTTTGTAAAAATCGACGCGTTTCAGAAAGGCGGGGCATAGAGGAGAAACAATAATGTACAGTATGTGGAAAATAATGTGTTTTTTTAACCTTAAACCACATAAACACATTTCATTACACCAAATACACAAAATACTGTTCTTTTTAGCAGCATCATATGACCCCTTTAACATACGGAGTATTCTAAAATACTAGACACTCTTAAAATACGTAATACTCCAAAATACTGAATACTCTTGAAATACGGCATACTTAAAAAATACTACGTACTTCTAAAAGAAAGATTACTCCTATATACTGAGTATTCTAAAATACTGAATACTCTAAAAATACAGAATAACTGGAAATACTCAACAGTAAATAGTTTTTCAGCTCGTGACTGAAGTTTGTTGTTAAGTTAAGAGTTTTCAGTTCCCAGTTCGAGTTGAACCGAGTTTCTGCTTTAACTTTGATCGTCAGTTTGCGTTTTGGTTTTGGAACGTTTTTTTTTTTAACGATCACCGTCCACCGGAGTTTCTGACCGACTTTAATTCGGTGTCCATGCGAGAGTTTCTCTGGAAACAAAAGCTACTAACGTTAACGTCCGCGAGCGTCGCGGGAAACTCACTCATGCACAGCGACGCGCAAGAACCCGCGCAAACATGATGAAATATACTGCAGCTGGATCCGTATTTTCGCGGTATACTCACCGGACAGCGAGCGGCGCGCCGGATCGGTAAACACGGCCGTTCAGGTCATCCTCATCCCTGCGACGCGACGCGCCCGCCGCTCCTCACGCAGCCGCTCCAGCGCGGACCGCTCACTCACAGAGACAGCCGCGGGGGGACGCGGAACACAAATACAGCACAAAACACACACAACACACACCCGAAACACCTTCAACTGAGCGAAAACACAGTATATACTCATGTAAACACATCAGGTATGATTCCTGACAAAGATGCACGCGGTTCTGATTAATATTTCAGTTTAAAATGAAGAAGCTTCCCCCCCCCCGCGTCTGAATGGACTCGCCCAACGCCGCACACAGTATACGCATCGCATCACAACACGGAAAGTTTGCCTCATCTGTGATTAACTGCTCAATTAATCTCATTTATCAACGAGTTCGCACTAAAACAATACGTGTGTGACATCTGTCTTATGAAAGAAGAGAAAACAGCATGGTACTTTGATAAACGGGCAGTAGACATACATACTAGCAAATATACTATGACTTTTTAATCAACAGGAAGAGATATTGTTTGATACATGGATGCATGAAGGAAAGAGTAGGTTTTGTAACTGATACAACTTTTTAATCATATTTTGCCTTCACTAGTTCCTTTTCACCGATATGCTGTGTGACATGAATTCTGACACTCATTGGTTTTTATGATAATTAATTATGTCCAGTCCTGATCACAGCATACCTATCTGTGACCCAAAATTGAAATATATATATATCATATAAATATATAAGCTTTCCATTGATGTAAGGTTTGTTAGGATAGGACAATATTTGGCTGAGATACAACTATTTGAAAATCTGGAATCTGAGGGTGCAAAAAAATCTAAAATGCTGTGTGACATGAATTCTGACACTCATTGGTTTTTATGATAATTAATTATGTCCAGTCCTGACCACAGCATACCTATCTGTGACCCAAAATTGAAATATATATATCATATAAATATATAAGCTTTCCATTGATGTATGGTTTGTTAGGATAGGACAATATTTGAAAATCTGGAATCTGAGGGTGCAAAAAAATCAAAATATTGAGAAAATCATCTTTAAAGTTGTTCAAATGAAGTTCTTAACAATGCATATTACTAATCAAACATTAAGTTTTGATATATTTACGGTAGGAGATTTACAAAATATCTTCATGGAACATGATCTTTACTTAATATCCTAACGATTTTTGGCATAAAAGAGAAATGTATAATTTTGACCCATACAATGTATTGTTGGCTATTGCTACAAATATACCCCAGCGACTTAACACTGCTTTTGTGCTGCAGGGTCACATATTAGTATCTGGTGTCTTAATAGTTTTTCTTGTTGATAAATCATCTCTAATAGGCCAAACAAAGATGTTGAATGAAAGGGGAAAAGCTGCTCATTTTGTAAGTTTAGCTGTTATTTGGAGCGCCTAAGACTGATAATGAAGCTGGTTCAGTTGAGTTTGAGGAAAGCTCCACACCCTGCGTGTGTGTGTTACTGGGTTTGGGTTTGTTCCCACATCCCTGAAGCACCGGGAACTGATCTGAGATCTGAGATCTGTGACTCCATCTACAGGAGCACATGATGCATTGACTACAGATCTGAATGTCTTTAGATTCAAAATAAGTCTCATTTATTGATTAAAAAAATATATTGGTGAAGAGAAACTAATGCAACATTTGGCCGGTAGTATATATCATGACATTTACATGTTTAAATGGAACTAAGTGAACATAAACATTCTGTGGCTGCAGTTAATCAGCTTTCAGTTTAAGTTATGAGAGATTTCCTCTGAGTGAAAAACAAATAATGATCAGCTCAAGACTGTCAGAGTAACAGCACATTATATCAGAGAGCGGGGCTAGTTGTCACAAGTGTCTGGGTAACTGAGGTTCTGAGGTTCTCTAGCAGTGCTTGTGCATGTTGATTTCAAACACCTTCAAACTGGCCTTAATACAGATTAAACATGACCACAAAGCAGATACCTGTGAGAGCAGGACAGACAGTGTGTGTGTCAGGCACAATGCAACAAAAACATCATTTGAAAATCATTCATATTTAAATAAATTTGACATCGTTCTATTTTCTGGCCGACTCTCTCAAGTTTTTTTTCCTTTTTTTGAAAGTCATGAAAATACTATCGTGGAGTTTTTCTTTTGCTTTTTGAGCAAATGGGAATGCAAAAAATACTCTCCAATTCTCTTGAAGTTATCCCAACTATGACGACTTCCGCTGCTGAGAAACACGGAAATGTGAAAGAGGTCCATTCTTTTTCAATCCTAAAAGTATGTATCATATGTATTTTATTTCAGTTTTAATATGATTTTTTTTTAACATGAAGTAATGAATGTCCCATTCTAGGGTTGGTTTTCACATGGTGTGGAGCCGACCAATCAGCGGCGGTGCGTCTGATCACGTGCACGTGACGCTGCGAGAGACGCTGGTCGTTTTTATTTTGTCAGCGCCGCCATTAAATCCGCATCTAAATCAACATTCAGAGATTAGAAACAGCATTCGTCGACATAAAACTCTATTCAACGATTGATATAAAGCTTAGAGAGTAAAGAACACAATGGAGGTCGAATAACAACGATAAAGACAGACTGAGGTGATTTAAGTCTCTTTAATGAGGAGCTGCGAGCAGAGCGATGTGAGTATTTACATGCTTCAGCAGTAATAATATGTGTCTGTCGGAGTATTAATGTGATTTATTTATATGGTAGTGTCAGTGGTGAGAGGGAAGAGTGTCAACAAGAACATTAACACTGTCAGTGCTGCGAGATATTAGTAATAACATCTGTGGTGTCAGTAAATAATAACACTCTCAGTGCTGCCTGTGACTAATAACATTAATACCAACAGTACTGTGAGAAATGAGTTTCATAACATTAATACTGTGAAATATGAGTATTACAAATTACATTAATACTGTGAGATACGAGTATCTGTTGGTGTCAATAATATTAATACTGTCAATTCTGTCAGATATGAGTGTCAATAGCAATATTAATCCTGTCAGTGCTGTGAAATACTAACTGACAATATAATTAATGCTCATATGTTACATCGCTGACATTATAATTGGTAGTATTTTTGGAAGTGTTGAAGACTAGAGTATTAAAGATAGAATTTCTTGCATTCTGTTCTGGATTTCTGACATGTCTCATATTATTTTGTGTTTACAGATTGGTTGTCTCCATATCAATGTGTGAGCCTGATGTAAGTTTGTGTTGTTGTGTGTGTGTGTGTGTGTGTGAGTGAATCTGAGTGAGTGAGTGAGTGAGTGAGTGAGAGAGAGAGAGAGTGAGCGAGAGAGTGAGTGAGTGTGAGTGAGCGAGTGAGTGAGTGAGTGAGTGAGAGAGCGAGTGAGCGTGTGAGCGAGTGAGTGAGTGAGCGAGTGAGCGAGTGAGTGAGCGAGTGAGCGAGTGAGTGAGCGAGTGAGCGAGTGAGTGAGCGAGTGAGCGAGTGAGTGAGCGAGTGAGCGAGTGAGTGAGCGAGTGAGCGAGTGAGTGAGCGAGTGAGCGAGTGAGTGAGCGAGTGAGCGAGTGAGTGAGCGAGTGAGCGAGTGAGTGAGCGAGTGAGCGAGTGAGTGAGCGAGTGAGCGAGTGAGTGAGCGAGTGAGCGAGTGAGTGAGCGAGTGAGCGAGTGAGTGAGCGAGTGAGCGAGTGAGTGAGCGAGTGAGCGAGTGAGTGAGCGAGTGAGCGAGTGAGTGAGCGAGTGAGCGAGTGAGTGAGCGAGTGAGCGAGTGAGTGAGCGAGTGAGCGAGTGAGTGAGTGTGAGTGAGTGAGCGAGCGAGTGTGAGTGAGTGAGAGTGAGTGTGAGTGAGCGAGTGAGTGAGAGAGTGAGTGTGAGTGAGTGAGTGAGCGAGCGTGTGAGTGAGTGAGCGAGTGTGAGTGAGCGAGTGTGAGTGAGTGAGCGAGCGAGTGTGAGTGAGAGTGAGAGAGTGAGTGTGAGTGAGTGAGTGCGAGCGAGTGAGTGAGTGTGAGTGAGTGAGCGAGCGAGTGTGAGTGAGCGAGC